TGTTAATTCTCAACATAGCAGCCAAAGTGATCCTTTAAAAACTGAAGTTACATCTCATCACTCCTCTGCTTAAATTCCCAATGGCTTCCTGTTTCACTGTAATAAGCCCTTATCCTCCCTATAAAGCCCAACATACAAGGTGCTTTCCTCTCTGATATCTTCTACTATTCTGCCAGCCACATTGGCCTCCTTAGCTCTTCCTAAAATACACCAATCACACTATCGCCTTAGGACCAGTGCATTTTCTGTTCCCTCTGCTATGAAAACTCTTCCCCAGACACCAGCATAGCTAACTCTCCCACCTTTTTAAAGTGTTTATGAAATGTCATTTTCTAAATGAGGCTGAGCTCAATCATTTTATTTTAAATTGTAATCCATATTTCTTGTCCCTCAGTATTCCAGAACTCCCCTATGGTGCTGTAGTTTCCCCCCACCAAAGCACTTTCCTCTTCAGACTTACTACATTATTTACTTATTTCCTATATTTATTATTTATTTTGTCTCCCTCATTAGAATATCAGATCCATGAGGACAGTATACTGCCAGTCCTTTAGGTGGCAGCTTTTATTCACTAGTACTCTTAATGTAATGATGTTTAACAAAAGAGTAATCCACTGAAAACATTAGATCCACTTTTTAAATATTTAAATCAAAGTAACTGAAAAGTAAAATTATTGACACATTTATAAATTAATGACTTTATGTACAAAAAACTTCCTTATCATAAAATAGAGAAATTTTAAACACTGCTCAAAATATCCAAGAACATCTGTTTTTAAATAATGTGGTAACCTGGTGCTTGGCAGTTAAAGACATCTGGAGCAAAAAAGCATTTTCCTGTTTCTTCAGCAATCACGGCATAGTCCACCTGGTTGAGACCGCTTACAGCTGGCAAAAACAAGTTCCAGAGGCCCTCCACTTTGGCCATTTCCTGTCAAGATGATGAATATGCCAGAGTGATCATAATTTACCATGACCTAAAATAGTTTATTTTTAAAAAGATACTGGTATTTTTGTCTTTTGAAATTTAAAAACGCTTATGCAGTTATTTTATTGTATCCTAGTGTGCAAAGACAAGTAATAACTAATTCATCAAAAATTAGCAGTTTCTTAACTGTTAAAGAAATGACTTTTCCTCAAAGTTTCCTTAGATTTGGCTGAAAAACTAAATTTGCTTGAGTACTTGTTGTTGAATCATAGCTATTACAGAATCTCCCACATTTGAGCATAATTATGCCAAATATACAATTTAGTGCATTTCAATTTCTAACACATGTTGCTGTTAGGATTTGAAAACATGAAAATGTGGATTAAGCCCATCTGAGACAAATGACCTGCCTTGACTTCAGTCTCAATTAAGTGACAGGTGGTAGTAAGTAGTGTTGATTATATATTTTTTTCTTGGCACAGCTGTAAGAGGCTGTCTTCATTACATATCATACACAAAACACTAAATTACCTAATTCATATATTACAGATTCTATTTTTAAATTTCTTTAAAAAAATTATTGATATAATTATCCTCTACATACATAACAACAAAAGCAATAACAAACTAAGGTGTCTAAAATCACCTGCACATAAATCTTCCAATATTAAATGTTTTCTTATTTTTTACCTTGAGCTTATCAATCACTAAAGGTTTTTTCCACTTGTCTGCTGAATTTTCATTTTGAACATAGAACTCAATTACCTCCTTAAAAAGAAAAAAGTTCATTAGGTAGAATTAATACTAAGTAAATAATGCCATAAACTTAATATCCAAAGTAAACGTATTTAGGTGAAGAAACTTTTTCAGCTGCTATTAAATCTATATTTCTAAAACTAGACACAGAAGTATAAAAAATTCTAGAGGCTTGCTGCTAACAAAGTTATGCTGCCTCAGTATTAGATAAACAACTTCCAAAATCTTATACCAAGCTTTCAGTGTTCCATTTTCAGCAACATGGGACACTAGATGGTCATAGAAACCCCCTCCCAGGGTAGTACAATTAAAAATGTCAGGTAAAATATTAAAAATAATTTTAAAAATACATTTAGTAATGCATTTACTAAATGGAAGGAAAATAAGGAAATTCCTTAGATGCCAGGAATAAAAGAGCCTGTTCTCATGGGTTTTTTCAGATTTTGTATTTTTCATTTCTAGAAGGTGTATTCGATTCTTTACTAGCACTCTAGGCAATTGTGACACACTCCAAATTTGGAAACCACTGCTCTATTATGATTGAAAAATAAGATTAGATACAGATGAAGAAATTTTTCCTTTCTTGAATGAAGCACAGAAATTCAACAGAAGGAAAATATGAGTAGTTAAGGGACACGATGAGCACAGAGTTCTCACGTAAGTCTAACTGGAGCCCTAGAAGAAGAGAGTGAAGAGAAGGAATGTTGGGGGAAAAATTATATCTAAGAAGTGTTCAGAACTGATAAAAGACGTCAATCCTCAAATTCAGAAAGCACAATGAAGCCAGAGCACAGTCAAACTGCAGAACATCAAAGAAAAAGAGAGGCTCTTAAAGGAGAAAGGGTGGGGGGAGGCAGATCAGTGATAAACAGTTAAGACTGAGAGCTGACTTCCTAGAGCAATGAATGGAGCCAGAAATCAGTGGAATACTATCTTCAATTGCTAAGAGAAAATAACTGTCAACCTAGAATTCTATATCCAATGAAACAATCTTTCAAGAATTAGGGGAAAAAAAAGGTATTAGAAAGAAAGAAACAGAGATAGAGATAACTAGCTAGCTAGATAAAGATATGAATCATTACTTCCCTCTCCCAGGCAAAAAAAAAAAAAAAACAGAAAATGAAATAAGAAAAAGTCTAATAGAAAATTCTCATGAAAGGAACTTGATCCTAGAAGAAACATGAGAAAGAATAAATAAAGATAAACACATGGGTAATGGGTAATAGCCACATAAAACAATAATAGTAATCTCTAACTTATACAACTAAAAGAATAAAAATGAATTAAAATATAATGGCATTCTATAATGGCATTATCCACTATTTTGCTATCATAGTATCTCGGTATCTATTATTTTTTTCTACACATAGGCTAGTAGAATTACTGGATCAGAGGGTATGAAAATTGCCAAAATTCCATATTACAAAACTAATTTCTAAAAATGTTCCACCAATTTACAGTACATAAGTAAAATACTAAAATGTTCCTTTTATTGAAGCATGGCTAGTCTAGAGTATTGCTGTATTGCTGAAAACTTTGAGAAGACAAAGAACGGCTCTTTCAAAGGCAACAGGATGAATACCACTGGTTATTTCTGTCAGGAAGTGAGTTAAATAGGAAGATTTCCTGTTTACGGTTGTTTATTATTTCCATTCATCATATTGCCATGAAAATAGTCAATGCTATTGTTTTGATAAAAAATATATTATGCAATACATTTACAAATTCCTAAACTCTGGCTACCTCTCTATGACACTATGGTTCTGAGAAATTACGCCAGTGGTTATATAATTAAAAACGTAATATTTAATACTTCCTGTTCTAAACTCTGTCCATTTAGAGATTTGCAAAGTCTATTTGTGGCATGGTAGTAATCAGAATTAAAATAAAATATCTCATTACAAAGAAGCATTCTTTAGTTCTTAAAGTGTTAAAAGGAGTTTATTGGTAATTAAAAAAAAAAAAAGTAAGCAGAAAATATGCTTGATGCCTGATCAATTCTCCCCAAATATTACCTTTAACAACTAACTTCCTTATTCACTGATTGAGATACTGCTTTGGAGTATGTTGTTTCAGAATCTTAAATCTGAGCCTACAAATAATTTTGCTACATAATGTTTTTCACTTTAAACTTAAGTTCATTAGAAAGAAGTGACAGTTCTTTCCTAGTACGTTATTAGACTCAGTAGGAAAATATGACTAATGTTATGTTAACAGTGTGTTCTCAATAATATGCCATGTTGCTAGTTCCTATTTTATATGCTATTTTCAGGACTTCTTATCCATTTTAAATAAGAATTGCCTTTTAAGATTTTCATAGATAATGGCTTCTTGTGTTCTAAGTTTATGATATCCAAGGACTTTGAAAAGGTCATTGGAATAGTTTAAATGAAACCTATTTTTTCCTGTTATAGAAAATTGGGAAAATGTGTAAAAGTATTAAGAAAAAATCATTAACAGTCTTACTAGTTAAATTTATGTACTATTAAAATGATGGTGTATTATGTAATACAGTCTTGCTTTTCAGACATAACTTTTATTTTTTGTAAAATTAGTTATAATATTTGATAGAATTTTATAGGCTGTCCCCTTTCCATTCTGCAAAAGGTAATTAATTTTCTCCAAATATCATTTTATATGTGTACGTTCACAGATAGGGATTAGTATTGTTCAGAATCATTCTACAGGATAAAACATTTTTACAGATGTTGGTACGTTTTTAAAGAAAGAAAAAGCTACATTATTAGATGTGCATATAATCCAGATTTGAAAGATCTACAAAGACAAAATGGTTGAGGCTTTCCTTGCCATACAAAATATTGACAATCTTCCCTTTAAAGGTATAGACTGCTTTTTTACTTGTCATATTTTCCTTTATTCCAAATTCTTTGTAAATATTTTAATAGTTGCAGGATATTAAGTTCAGCAGATGTATCACAACCCAACTTGTGTTACTTCTCTTCTATGCTGCATGTTTCCCTTGATTGCCTGTTCATATTTATGAATGAAAGAGCAAGGCTATTTAGTTTCTTCTGCTAATTATAGCCTCTCCTTTGAAAAATGGGCTTGTTGCAAGCACTAGCATGTCAGCAAACAAGCTTCATTTTAGGGTGAGCAGTTAGGAATCAGGCAAGTTGATAGGCAAGCTGAGGTCTACACCCAACCTCCACCAGAAAAAAACAAACAAACAAACAAGAACTCAAGACTCTACTCTAGAGCACTAACCCTCATGCTGAAGCCCAGGCTTCTTTGAAACAGATCATTTGCTTTTTTTAGAGTACTCTTGCAGCCTTGTGTCTACAGCAAACACCATTACTACCTAGGAGGTGTTAGAGACCAACCCCAAGCAGCCCAGCTATAGCTATAGATTAGTTCTTCAGTCAAACATCTTTCTCTTGCTCTCAACACTAGCCAATCACAAGGGATTCCATTGTTAAAAAGAAAAAAAAAGGTTACCATCTGTGCTACAGCCTTCCTTTCAAAATTCTTTTTAGATGTGGGATGTGGCTTCCTCTGTGAAAGTTTATTCTTTGGTATGATCTAGTCCACCTTCTTCCAAATCCAATTTCCATTCTCTTTCCAATCTCTGATGTATATATCTCTTGTTTTTGTGCTATTACCAATTTATTCCATTTTTAAAATTTTTCTTCATTGTTAATTCAATGTAATTTTATTTGAGGAAGGAGAGGCAAATGCTGCCATCTTGAATCAAAAGTGCTGTATTTTCTTTTTAATACTCAAAAGTTCAAAATTTTAAAAATCAAAATTGTATATATACTAACTATAGCAGAAAGTCTACAAAGTGATACTTTAAGCACTGAACACAGATTTTAGAATTTCCTCGTATTTAAGAAGTATTTTCTTTAAAAATCTATACCCCAATCTGTGAGCAAAGTTAATTTCAAGCAAGATCTTTGCTAAAATGTGATCATTATTCATAATTCAAGCAATAACATTAACCACTTTATAAACACATATCAACTCTGAACATTTTTTTGAAAGAATTTGGTATTTTTCAATTTCATATTTGATTTTGCCAGTCTAGCTTTAGCCTTCTCAGAATCTGGAATATAAAAATGGGAATTTATTGTATATCTAGTCATACCTATAAACATTATAGATGAAAAAATCGAGGTTCTAGAGATATAGTTATTTGCCCAAGACCACATAACTTGTGGCAGGAGTGGGATAGAATTGAACCCTTATAATTTCTATGACAGTGTTCTACCCATACAGATATTTCACCATTACATATTTTCATAATAGCTTTTATCTTTTCTTCGCAGCATTTATCATCTCTTGTTTAATGTCTGTGTTATGCTACAGTATAAGCTCTGTAGGAGTATAAGCCCTGTCTTGTTCTTTCTTTTACTTTCAATGGTTCTCCAGGTGCCTAACCTATTATTAGTTATCTGATAATTATTTGTTAACTGAATGAATGAATGTACCATGTTACTTCCCTACCCTCAGTGAACGAACTGAAACCTAATACCTTAAAATAGCAGCTTGTGGGGAGAGCGGTGGTAATATCTGTGAACAGCTTGAAATAATATGCAAAATTTTCTGGGTATGCCCATCTTGTTTTGTCTATAGTTCTCTTAATTCCCAAAGTCTGATAATTATTTGTTAACTGAATGAATGAATGTACCATGTTACTTCCCTACCCTCAGTGAACGAACTGAAACCTAATACCTTAAAATAGCAGCTTGTGGGGAGAGCGGTGGTAATATCTGTGAACAGCTTGAAATAATATGCAAAATTTTCTGGGTATGCCCATCTTGTTTTGTCTATAGTTCTCTTAATTCCCAAAGGGATCCATTAAAAAAAAAAAAAAAAAAGCTAAAAGTCACTGCTTTAGGAAAAGGCCTCCAAAGTAGTGTTTTATTCTAATATACTTAGGATCTCAACTTTACAAAAAAAAGTTTATTCCCTCTGACTTAATTTTAATTCCACAGACTTTTCCGTGGCATTCCCTTGGCATACTTTAGAAGCTTAGAATTTTTCAGGATCAGGTTCTGTAGAAGCTCAGCGAGAAGATAAGGAGGGGCATCAAGTTAAGGATTGATGCAAAGTGCCATGGTACTTCAAGAAGCGAGATAACAGAAGTAATTCATCAAATATATTCTGTTCATACAATACTTACCTTTTCAGCTGGAAGGATGTGCTGTTTCATAAAATACTTTACCCTAGTAAGAACTTCTTGGCCTCGCCTAGTCTGTACAAACAATCCTTGGGTAGTATCAATTTGTGGTAGTGTAGTTCTAAAAGTTTTTGTAAGAAAAAAAATGTTATGAAGATATCCCAAATTCTTACTATATATTTCTGAATATAATGTGAAGTCTTCTCTAGCTCCCCAAAAACAGCCCTCGGAAAGAGTTACCATATTTTGGAATTTTTAAAGTCTTGCATATTATGAAGTAAATGCAGAATCACTTTATTTTGAACTTCAAACTTTAATGCTTAAAGCACTATTTGGGGAAAACATAAGCCTGGCATGACCCCAATCAATGATAGTTTTGAATCTTCATTGAATCACTTGTTAAATTTGTGTACCAAAGAAATTGAACATAAATTTAATAATTATTTTTGTATAAGCCTCACAAATGCAACTGTTGGATGTTATTATAAACAAGACCTGTAAAGAGCCACATCATCAGTTGTTATATTGTGGTGATCACAAACATCCATCTGTAAAATGAGCTGTAAAACAACTGCCCTAATGTTATGCCACAAGTACTTGTGGCTTGGGCAGAATTTCCAGGGACAGCATCATCCACACATTCAGTAAGTGCTGTATATCACACCATTTAAATGGAAGTATGATTGGGAAAGTATAGTAGATGTGCTCCACTGATGGAGACATGGATTTCAGAGATGCGTATGAAATGTCTCAATAAAATTTCATGACATGCGATGGTGGAAGAGAGCAATATTCTTAAATTTAATAAATCACCTTATATAATTTGTAATTTTAAATGGGTATATATAAGTAACAAATATCGGAAAGAAACATTTAAGAGTTTTATCTATATCCTTAAAAGTTTATACACTTAAGTTGTCAAAAATACTTTTAATCATAAATGTGGGTAATTTTCTTCATATTTGAGGTCAGTTTATTTTCAGGCAGATAAGAGATTTACCAAACAGAATATCACGATTGGCAGCAACAATCCTGGTGTAAGAAATGAAAACAATCCCTATTCCCCTAAAGTTTATAAACTTCACAAACTTAATAAAGGCTCTAATTTGAGTTAGCCAAGCACTCTATTTTGCTTACCTTTTTGAGAGCTGCAATCCAGTTTCTGCCAGAGGTTGCACATCATTGGCAAACAGAATGCTATTCTCAGATACATTATTTCCCAGAAGATATCTACTATATATTCCCTATAATTAACATAAAGCAATTAAAATTCATTGAAAACCATTCTTCAGCTATCCAGTCTTTCCAATTTCCCAGTTATATGAGTGACTAAATTTACAAGGTACCAAGATATACATCAGATTAGCAATTCTATTAATTTACATGAAGAAATCATTTAAAGAATCATACTTGGATCATCTGTTAACACATTTTCATCCTGACAGAACTGTAACTGAAATTCAAACCAAACTCGCACATGAGCTCAGCAGTTACTGAAGATGCCAAATGGCAAGTTATAATCATCTCTAAAGATCACTGTTCTCCATTCACAGTGGGGGAAAATCTCAAGAAACGAAAACAAAATCGGACACTATAAAACCAAAGAGAAGGCAATCAAATGACCTCTAAAAATATTTTATCTCCCTTTTGGACCCCTACTTTAGGTGAAACTGTCTCCTTTGAACAGTGTTAGTTGAATGCTAAGCAGTTTTTCTTTCTTAATTATCCATATTCTGTACTTCCAACATAATATACTCTCCTTTCCCCTGCCTCCCCACCAAAACGCAATCAACTGAATTTCATTAGTTTATTTCTTTATATAATCCTTTGTGTAATAAAATACTAACAGTCTTTCCATCATTTCTAATTTCATCTTTCTAATTAGAATGGAATGTTTATGATCATCTCTAAGGCTACTACTATAGTTTATGACATATATATTAATTTCAATCATAACTCATGTCAAACTTTTATTTGAAATGAAAATCCAATGAACTTTAAATTTGAAGCCTATCTGGTAACTGATTTGTGAGAACTGATGAATATAGAAACGTACTGTAAATCCTATTTTGAGAAACCCATCTAATCAACTTGATTAATATAATTAACATGATTGTAAAATACAGGATGATATGCAGCACAACTATTTCCTAGAAGACATTTCAGTTGTTCGTGGATAGCATGAACTCTGAGGACAAAGAAAATAACCATACTGTTCCTTAATTCTTCTTTTCCCATTTCTTTGGTTTCTAAAATTTCTTATTTACCTGTTCTTCCTCCAAGTCCTAGCCCCTTGCCACTTATGAAGTATATCAATTTCTTAAATAAGCCCCCAAGATTCAAAGTACTGAAACTGAAACTGAATTACAAGAATACATTTGTTTAAACAGTATTTTTAAAAAAACAACTGAATTTATGCTAAATTTCCTCTCAAAATAATCACATAAATATGTTGTTAAAAAATGGAAAAATTTACTCACCTATTCACTCAAACATATATATTAAGAGGCTACTATATGCTAGGTACTTGTGCTAGGCTTTGAGAAGTTCAAAAATAATTCTTTCCTCATAATCAAACCTGGTTTATAGTGTGAAACAGACATCATTAAAAGATTTTAGCTCTTTCTTACATTGGATGTTCAGGATATAGTCAGTTCTCACATGCTTCTCTTTTTGTCATTATGTCTTTCTCTCTTCCTTCCTCCATCTTTTAAGTTTATTATACCAAACAGAGATAATACATTTTGCTACTCATCTTTTTTCCTTGCCGAATTCCTATTCTGGATTTATATTTCACCCATGTCTGGTATTTGCCATTAAGAGAAGGCAAACGACTTAAGGATAAAGAATATAAAACCCCTGAAGATAAGAAAATACCGTCAACAGCACATTTATAAATAATGGTGAAATACATGTTAAAAACAATTAATTACCTGCACGATTCCAGCCCCTTTAAGACATGAAAGAGCAAGAAAGAAATTCCAATTAGGAAGACTGTGATTAATTCCTCTGCAGCGGCAGTATATTGAAATTAGTTCTTCCATTGACGGTATCCCTATAAAAACAGCACATACTATAAACTTTAATTAAAATCTCATGATGAATATTTTAAAGTGTCATAGTACTGCATATGCACATAAAACTAAATATAATAACCATTAGTCCACTTAACGAAACATGTTCTAAATGTTGATTTCCAAAAGAACACTATGTACAAAGGGTTACATTTTGTCATAAATTACTAAAAGTGAAATGCTACAGTCAGAAAAGTCAATAAAGAATAAAATATTTAGAAATATTTCAAGAAACAAAAGCTATCTACGACTGCATAATTTAATTCTATTTTTAAATTATGAGGAATAATAAAGATAATTTTATATTACAGCAATTCAAGCAACATTATTTTTTCTTGCAAATAAGAACCTTGCTTTGTCAATGAAACTGTCTTCGGCCAAAAGTAGAACAGGCAGAGGTGAGCTAAGTCTGACAAAGGATGACCAATGGTTGAAAGCTCCCAATCCAGTACAGCAATAACTCGAGTCTGTAATTAAAATTAAAAAGGTTTAAACATATTAAATCGAAAATTAAAATAATCAAATAAATGAAATAGAATACATTCAAAACCACATTTTCCATCAAAAGCAAAGCGGAGGCCATAGTCTGCAGTCTTTACACACAGTGGCACATCTCATTTATTAAACTAATTAGTCTTGATTGTGTAGAGCCAAGTCCTCTGATTCCATTACTGGCCATCTTATTTTACAGTCTTAATATCTCTACTAATAAGCAGAGGCAAATGCAGTTGAAATCTCCCACTGGGAATAACTGTGGTAAAGAAGTAATTCTAATAATTATTATAATTTAAGAATCTGTGTTATGCCATATATAATTAAGAGTTTGTTCTGGTAATGAAACTTACTACACAACAAATATTACACTCTTACGGCAACAGTAATTTTTTAAGTAAGTCATTTCACACTGTAGATACAAAAATATAATTGTTATAAAAGATGCTGTTTGTTTTAGGAATATAAAGTCCACCATTATATAGCAACATAACAGTCATGTCATTTGGAACCAATAAAATAGAAAGGTTTCCTCATTTTACTTTGTAATAATATGTAACAAAGAAATATATACCTTTATGTTAAGAACACAAGACATTCAACTATAAATACAAGTGGAAAAAACAATTTGCAGACTATGTAGTGTTTTCGTTTAAATAGTAAAGCTATATATGAATACTCAAAGATGGAATGATATACACCAAACTGAGAGCAATGGCTGTGGTTACTTCAAGGGATTAAGGCAGAAGGGATAGGGTATAGGAAGGGGAACCTCTATTGGAGGGTTCTGTATAGCAGCGGTCCCCAACCTTTTTGGCATCAGAGACCAGGGCTCCTTTGAGAATCTAATGCCCAATGATCTGAGGTGGAGCTGAGGCAGTGATGCTAGTGCTGGGGAGTGGCTCCCTTGCCCACCATTTACCTCCTGCTGTGTGGCCCAGTTCCTAACAGGCCACGGACCGATATCGTTCTGCGACTCGGGGTTTGGGGACCCCTGAGAGAAGTGACATGATAGGATTTGCATTTTGAGGGTCACTCTGGCTGCTATGTTTTGAATAAACTGTAGGAGGGCCAGTGAGGAGGCTGCAGCAATAATCTAGACAAGATTATCCAAGCCAGATAAAACAGCAGAATTTATTTGGGCAATACAAATTACTGGGTTTCATACCTTACTCTTCTGGCACTCTTGTACACATTATTGTAGCTTCGTGGAAAAATGTGGCCTTTGGAATCAGATAGATCTATATTCAAATCCTAGCTCCATCATTTACTAGCTGTGTAACTCTGGACAAGCTAGTTAGCCTCTCCGACCCTTTCTCAGCCATAACATACATCTCTTGCACAGAGTTAAGTGTGACAATTAACTGAGGGTAGGAAATGTGTTTACCAGTCCATAGCGAAGAACATGGCACATAGTAGGTAGCCAACATGTATTCATTCAATGAATAATTACAGAGCCTGGCATATAGCAAGCAATCAAAATTTTTCTATCAAGACTATGGTAAAAATTAATCATTTCTCCATTTGACTTTATTAGGCCTCTTATTGTTGTGGTTATGTTGTATTATATGTTACCATACTAGCTAGATTTAACAAGTTAAAAAAAAAAAGATTGGGTGTATTTTTCTCTATACTATTGTGGTTATTTCTGTGCTCCTAACATCCAAAAAAAAGAAGATGAGACATTTATGCTATAAATGTTTACCTTTTTTTCAGTGAAAATTAACTCCTATGGAGTTAAGTTTAAAGATATTTGAAACATTTTTTAGATAATTACACAAAGCTATGAAACAACAGTCAATGAGAAAAGTTGATAGTTCATTAAATTGTATCGATTAGTATAAATTAATTAGCAATAGTTTATTAGAATCTTGTCTATGTATGTTTCTGTACAGAGCAATAAAAAGTTCAGCATAACTCTTAGTGGTTGAGATGAACATTTACTAGTTCATCTTGCTGCTTAAGAACTTATTAATGATTTCTGATAGTTATTCTGAAACCTCAGCACAACTGAAGGCTTTTTTTGCTGATATGTTCTACATTGAGTTTTATTTCTCTATGTATGCTTTTGGCGTTACTGAATTTTATTAACATATATGTATTTTTACCTTTTCAGAACAAAAGAAACATATGAAATCTGACAGGACAAACAGTAGATGAAGAAGGCAGATGAAACTAGGAGTAAGGTTATCACATAAAATTGAATATCATGGGTCATTATATAGTTGTTAGTGTAGACAGTAAAAATTGCTCTGATTTGCCTATGGAAAAAAAAAGTGTGAAGCATGATTAGTCACAATGTTTATAGTGTGTATACATTAAAAAAAATCAGATGTTCAAGAGTGACAATTTTTCTTGACAATGAGGCTTAAGAAAAATGTCACCTATCAATCTACATGAAAGAGATATTATGTAGATGGCTGAAATGTCTTCAACAACATCAAGAGAACTTCAAGGGGCACATAATCCCCAGAGAGCAGCTTGTGCTGGAAACTAACTAAAAGGACAAAAATGAGTCAAGTAGAAGGCAAGACCATACGCTGAGAGTCAGGGTCTAGATGAGAAAAGCAACTTGAGGGTTTGAGAAGAACAGAAAAGGTGCAAAAAAGCCATTTTTTAAAGGAGTCCCGGGTATTATGAAGAGACAAATTTATAGCTTTGATGAAATTATGCAGCATATATATATGTCCCAGAGACACGGAGAAAAGCAACTTGAGGGTTTGAGAAGAACAGAAAAGGTGCAAAAAAGCCATTTTTTAAAGGAGTCCCGGGTATTATGAAGAGACAAATTTATAGCTTTGATGAAATTATGCAGCATATATATATGTCCCAGACACGGCTAACCTGACTTCATGACTATTCTGCAGCAAAACTATGATGACCCAAGATCAGGGTTGGAGATTATGTAAAGTCAAGGAGTGAGAAGATTCTGGAACAATAAGTAATGTAAGGTCAGGAAACTTTATAATTCATATTGCACACATCCACAGTCAAAAAATTATTAATTCAATTAATAATAAAAAAGGTAGTTTTTTAAGTGATTGATCGTGCCTACATGGGCCAGGCAGGATAAGAAGTCTTCTAAAGTAAGAGTAACCAAATTTACAGCCTCTCAGGGGTGGTGTAAAGAAATAAGAGAAGTAGAAGGTGAAGAAGGCATGGTCAAAGACTAGGCGTTTAAATTCCTAGATCACTGAAATTAACCAGTTCCAGCAGAGATGAGAAGCAGGACAGTGGAGAAGGAATTATACATACAGTATTGGAAGTCTGCAGACCTGAGTTCAAAACCTGGCTTTACTACCAAAGAGCATTTACTAAACAGTATTTTAAAAATATCTGTAAAGTAGAAAGACTGAAAAAACCCAATCCCCACGTCTTTTCTAGCAATAAAATTAAATTTTACTACTATGCTTTTCTCCAACTACACTGACATTTTAGAGACAGTGGGGGGAAATTAAAAAGAAAAAGTCATTAAAATACAAGTTTTGTTTTTCATATCAAACCATTCTTTTCTTCATATGTTAATACATAGAAACTGCAAGGCAGATTACTTCTGAAGAACCAGTGTACATATATTTGTTATCTTAAATACATCTGATGACTAACAGATATAGATGAAATATCTATGAGTATATCTGTTTCTATTAAAATATATTTGACTTTCAAATTGAAATGGCAATATGTACATGAAACTCCAAAATCTTAAACATGTCTCTGCCAGATGGGTAAGATTTATATTTAGAAAATTAACAGTATTTTCCAGGAAAATTGGATTTCTTTTGAACATTTCAGTGAGCATGTTACACTGCTGAAATACAAGCTCAAACATGCTTCAAATACTTTATATACAAGTATCTGGAAAATAACTAGGGATTGCAACATTGAGTAATATGCTTTTGTTTTGCTATACCCTTTAGTAACCCTTGACTGGCTAACCACACACATTCTTGGAAGATTTCTCAGTTAAAATTGTTTTTGTTTTCTTTCTTGTTTGGTTTTCTGATGATAAAAATAAAATATGCTGTTTTTAAAAAAAAAAAAAATTCAAGTCTATGGCCATGCCACGCTGAACATGCCCAATCTCATCTGATCTCGGAAGCTAAGCAGGGTCGGGCCTGGTTAGTACTTGGATGGGAGACCACCTAGGAAGATCTAGTGCTGTAGGCATTAAAAAAAAAAAATTGACAACAAAATAAATTCAATAAAACCTCAAAACTTAAACATCACAGGAATGTACAATTTAAAAGTCTCTTATGATTTATCCATTCTCTACAATTACCAAGTTTTAGTAAATATCATGAATGATTACTTTTACCGTAATATTTTTCTGAAGAATAGAGATTGATAGCCTTAGAAAAGTAGAATAGAAAAACAGCAACCCTGAAATTCTGGTGTTTTCTTCCCAATATAAAAGGCACACAATGTGAATTTCCTGGCTTTGATAACATAGTATAGTTGTGTGAGATCCATTTGAGGAATCTGGATGATGGGTACACAGGACTCCACTGTGCTATTTTTACAACTTCTTTTGAGTTTAATTATTTCAAAATAAAAAGTTAAAATAAAAATTGAGGGACAGAGAGGCGTTAAATAATTTGCTTTAAGGTCACACTGCTAGAGAATAAAAATTAAGTATAAATATTGAGATGGAAATAGTGATTAACTAAAATCAATTCTTTCAACATAGATTAATGCAGAAACATGTAACCACCTGCCACATAAATGAATAAGATTCAATCACTATAAAGGAGCTCTTAGTCTAGGACGTCCATATTTATTGAGTATCTACCATATAGAATTTAGGGACGAAGGAAAGAAAAAAATTAGACATAATCCTTACCCTCAAAGGAAAAATAAAAAGCTTTCAATCATATCCCTAGGAATATATGCAGGTGAGCATATGTGTGTGTGTGTGTGTGTACACACACATAGTCAACACCAATTTGTGGAGTGTAATCATAAAAAAGAACGTCTAATTTCCTATTCGGTTATGAAAAAATGTTAAATGAGGTAGAAAAGATAAACTATTAACTCAAATTAAATTCTAAAATTTGAAAGCTCTTAATGCCAGTAGATAGTGGGTATCTTTTCTTCTTTGACTGCTCCTGTGGTTCACTTTGTATGATACACTTTAGCAATTGCGTATATATTGATCTCTGGTGTTCCTGAATATCTTTTATCTCCATCTGTATTTTGAGCTTATTAAGAGCTGTATTTCCTTCCCAACACCATGATCAGAGCACGTAATTGGTAATGAGTAAATTCTAGTTGACTTGTACTCTGACAACCATATATTACTTCCATAAAAAATTAGCTACAATATTTATAAGAGGCAGAAACTGATTAAAACTAATAATTATAGAATTACTGGGTATACAGTAGAAGACATCTTACTAGCTACTACATAATCCTAAAACATTAAATGATAATGATATATGTAACAAATTAGTATGGCAGCTAAATAGTTTAAAGCTGTGCCTCTACCAGTTGGTTTTTTTTCTGAAAGTCTCTCCCTAACTATTGAATATTCTACTTGTCTAAAGGAAGATGATACTTGTTGGCAAACTTTAATCGTATAAGAAATAACTTTCTAATAAGAAATTAAATATTAAAAAAATAACTTTTGGGCACTTATTGTAGTTTGCCATTACTTTCAACATATGATACTAATCCTAAAATTTAAACATTTTAGTAGACAACACATAATTCAGGAGATCTAAGTCTTCATTTTTTTTCTTTGCTTAAGTAATGAATAGAAAAGAACTATAGTTATAGAACTCATAGAGAGCTCTGACGTTCAAAGATAGGCTCCTAAAATATTAATAAATCAAGTGATATAGTTCAAAAATAGATCAGATCCTGCTGTTTTAAGTTATAAACATGTACAATTTTTCCAGGTTATAAATTAGCATTCTTTAATTCTCTTACTCTATATTTAACAAAGTTAGAACTCAGAATTCATCATTGCTAATAATACTGAATGTCAACTGTAACTGAAAAATCAAAAAAAGAGCGGGGGGCAGGGAGGTGAAGGGAATAAGAGATTCAAACTTCCAAGTATAAAACGGATAAGTCATAAGGATGTAATGTACAGCATAGGGAATACAGTCAATAATATTGTGACAGAACTGTATGGTGTCAGATGGTTGTTCGTGATCACTTCTTTAGTGTCAAATAACTATGGTGTACACCTGAAACTAATATAATATTGCATTTTAGCTATATTTTAATAAAAATAAGAAAAATAAGGAATAAAAAATCATCAGTGCCGTTAACAAAAGATTATACACGTACGTAATTAATATATACTTAATTTTAATAATCAAATTGACTGTTCTAGGAAAAATTTGAACTTGTTGGGTAATGTGCTCATATGTCCTTATATTTGAACTTTCAATTGATATAGTACTACTTTGAATTATGACAACAATGCAATTTATAATGCTATTTTCCTCCTGTCCTTTTTCTATAGAAAAAGAATATGAAAACCCAGAAATTTAGCACATTAATTTAGAGCAGCTATTCCTGCTCTAAAACATCTTAGCATTCTGAGAAAACTAATAAACCCAGAAAACCATCTTCTAAGAAGCAGGACTCAGAGAACTGTAGATCTTTCACATTAATGTCAGAATACTAAGGGCCAAGTGTCTTGTCCAAAGGCATATAGGTGAGAGGAGAATTAAAGTAGTTTCCTTATTCCCACCACACTCCTCCAATTCTAGGTAGTCCTCACTGTCAGTGTTCACAGGAGGAGGGTTATAGTTTTGATTTGTTGTGCTCTTTATATAAAGATTACACTGTATACATTAAGCAAAGCAAGGTTACATTAATCTCATGCAATTCTTCAGGTCTCAAATAAGGCTTTTGGAATTCTGTTTTTTTCTGAACTTATAATAATCAAATAAAAAATTCTTTATGAGGTAGGAAAAAGAAATGAAAACAAATCAGAAGAAAGAACATGGACATTTATAAACTACATATTTTTAGATAAAAAATGTTTTTGAAGAAAACAGTAACATGCATATAAATTCCCAAAGCCTATTTAAACAGTAAATCTGATATCACTCAAGATTAGACCCATCCTAAAAGGCAGGCAGTTACTTATGCCAGAAAATCTGCAGGACTCATTTCTAAAAATTTTGAGTGGTGGATATAGGAGAAGGGTGAGGATGGGTTGGACTCCTTAGTACTTGTGCTCTAACTCAGAGCTACTTAATTTATTGTAAACATGGCTTAAAGTACCTCTGTAGGGTGGAAAACTATGTTATCTAGTTTGAAATCTCCATGAATTAAATTTTCTTCATTATCATTATCTGGTAAGTTTTTCATTAGCCAGTCAGATAGCTGGCTCATGGCAGGGATGTCCTGATGAGCTGCAGCTTCATATTGCTTTGTCCAGGTTGATACCTAAAGATACATAAATAAGGAAAATGATAGAGCTGAAAATGGAATGCAATATCCAGTAATTTTTAAATTAAAACAAAATTCAATGATATCAAATTTGGTTTTATTCCTAAATGCTCAAGACAAATGACTGTGATATAGTATCAGCCTAAAACACTCACACCAGCCTAAAAACTTAAACATTTAAGTCTCTCTTCCATCTAGTTCCATTTTACTTACATAGATTTTTTTTTTAACACACACGCACGTGTACAATACTGGCCTAAGAATCAAGAGATGTGTGCTCTGGTTTTTATTTGGTAACTATTTTGGAAGGAAAAAAAATGCATACAAATACACATACACATATAAGCATAAATAAGTATGCACAGAAAATTTCTGGAAGGGTCACTGAAAAAGGGCATACAGGGCCTAGAAAAAGAAGGGAGATTTTTACTTTTCATCTGAATACCTTATTACCTATAGAATCTTCTAAATATATTATAGGTATGAGGAGTACAAAGACTTTTTATTGTTCTGAGAATTGAATGCACAAACCAACCTATTCTCAAAGTCCTCTACTAATTGAGACATTATTACTTATCTGCTTATATTTATCGCTCTCCCCACTCCCCAAAATAACTGTAAATTTATTTTTTAATTAAATTTATAGGTTTCAAGTATATAATTCAATAATATATCATGTATATATTTTGTTGTGTGTTCACCACCCAAAGTCCAATCTCTCTCCATCACCACATACTTGACCTTCTTTCTCCTTATCTACCTAGTGCTATAAAGAGCTTCATCTTTGGAATCATATAGACCTGGGTTTAAATTATGTATAAGCCACTTAAGTGGGTATTCCTTGATAACTGCAAGCCTCAGTTTCCTCATGGGTAAAACAGAAGTAATAATACCTATGTCTTAGAGCTGTGACAAAGATTCAAAAAGAGTAGGTCCACAATTCACCTAGCATGGGAACTAGCATATAGTGAGTGCTAGTTCTAAACCTTAGCTCTAAACCTTAGCTCCCTTCTCTAAACCTTAGCTCCCTTCTCTCTCCCCTAAGCTCCTCTTAAAAGCACAAAGGAAAACAATCCTATACACATCTGGTCTTGTTGTTTGATTTGAAATGTGCACCATCTCTTCCCTACCACTCTAGATTTTATCTTTCCTTAAGTACACAAGTGTAAGATCTCTTTCTCCCAGGAAACACCCCACTTAAGCAAGGGCATACTGATATCCACCCTCCGAATGGAACAGTTCTCATGATGAGCACCAAACAATTCACTATTAGATTACATAATTTTTTATACCACTTTCAAGTTTCATATAAATTAGATTCATGTATAGTTCCCTCAAAAATGACCTTAAGTTCCTTTAGGAGAACTTATTTCTATTTTTTTGTATTTAATACAGCACCAACCACATATTAAACACACAGTCATGCTTAATAAATGTCTGTTAATCTAAGTTAAAGAAAATTGTATAGAAAATATATTGGTAAATTAAGTGGAGAGGCTGAAACAGCTTTAAATTTGCATTCAGGTACATGTTGTCAGTTACAGAGGCTTCTGCTGAACAAAATCTAATTTAAAAACACAATTATTTTATGCTTAAAACACAAGTTAATCTGAAAGCTGATATTAAAAGTTATAGACAAATTTCAGAAAAAAAATTTTTAATTTGACTAATAATATATGTTATTTCCAAGAACTTGAGAAAAGAAAGCTCTTTATGTGGATGCATTACCTGTCTTTTGCAGTACCCAGCACCTATACCATATCCTTCCAGCTGCAATGAGTGTATATTCAAGGAATGTAACTGAGCCAATGTTTCTATCATAGCCACATATATGGCTGAGCGTTCTGCTGGGCTAACTTCAGGAACTGTGAAATCATGAAAGATTCGACCCTATGGAAGCAATTACAACAGATAATTTAAAACAAGTCTTTTCATGCCATTTTTTTGCTGTATTATTATCTCATACTGCCTGTAAAAGAAGATCAGGATAACAGTTTTGCAATCAAAACCAATTCTTTGCAAGACGTGCTAGAAAAATGTTCTTTTGTGAAACACGTATAAGAGTATATATGCCAAAGAGAAATACAATATATGTCAAGATGAACTTAAAGGACAAAAACTACTTTGAAGTTAATTTTTACAAAAAAGAAAAAATTAAAACAATTTGAATTTACTGTTCTTAATGTACTGATTTTCTATTTGGAATAATTTTCCCCCCATACTGACAGGCAGTTTGGTTATTGCCATTACATATGGCTCTTTACTGACACCTGGAGGAAAATTTAAGAACAAGTCAATATGCTCTAAAAACTAAATTTGCTCCTAGTCTATTTCATCCCTCCCATATTGTGTGTGCTCAGGTTAAAACTAAAGTTTAAGCCCTTGAAAAGCAAACTAATTACCTAAAATATTGACTAATAAATTATCATTTATTAACATCTAATTTTATAATTAAAAATAAAGGCAACAACAAAGTAAGATTAAGTGTTAATTTACCTGCACATGTTCCATCACATAAAATTCTGTTCCAATAACAGAAGTATTGCTGCAGTACAACAAAGGCTTGGGAACAGAGAATCCAACTGAAAATAAAGCTTTCTGGACTTTAAATTCTCTATCAATCTAAATAGGATGATAGATTATTAAAAATTAGAAACAGAAATTTAATAACTACTTGTTAACATTAAGGACAGAATTTTGAAATAGTATCAACAAATAACCCAGAGGATAATAATTTTCTTATTATTTCCCTTAAACATAGTCTTAGTCTTAGTGCAATTATTATAATTATAAATTAGGCCAGCACTAAAAAATAATTTAATTAGGCTAAAAAGATAGACATATTCATGAGGCTTAATCCTGGCTCCAGTAATATGAAAGCAATAGTTACTGACCACAATATTTCAAAGATATCATAAAACATCTCTTTGTTTCCACCTGTTCCCTGATGACTGGCTAACTCTTCCTCTCATGTCTCCCCAGGAGGCTCAGGTGAGTCTCTATTCTAATGCTTTGGGCATAGTCAGCTACAGGATGCTGGGGGAGGCCAGTGAGTACTGGTAGAAAGGAAAAGCACCTGATTTTTCTGGAGATCGATGGAAGAAACTTGTTTCTAAGATAGGGGTATAAGGATCCTTCTTGGTGCTTGGGGCTGCTGTGAAACTCAAGATAACTATTGGGAAAGGAGGAAATGAGAAGCAAGCCAGTACTGAATCAGGAGCCCAAATAAGAGGGAAAAGAAAAATGCATCCTCAACCAGGTCAGGTGTATGGGCCTATCACTCAGGACCTGTGGACACAGCTAACAGAGCTGAGACGCCAACTCATCTGCATGCAAAGTCCCCTTGCCCCAGACTCAGGTAGTGGTAAGTGATCACTTCTAAGAAGAAACCATGAAGCCCACTTTGAGACTGCAGGGATAAAGCAGCAACTACTGCAGTAGCTAGAGCAGAAAGTGACTAAATCCATGACCAAAGAAAGAGAAGCCATCTGTGCCAATTGCTGTTATAAAGAAGTGTTTATAACCATCCTGCTGCTGGAAATGGGGATGGGGTGGGATGGTGGTGGGGACAAAAGGGTTAGGGAGTCATTAAGTAAATGATAGTATGGGAACATTGCTTTTTTCAATGCAGACTTGGGAAAAAAATGAAAAAGCTGAAACAAAGTATTCTAGATCCTTGAACTGAGAGCATTGTATTATATTCTGATGTCTTCTGATAGGAGTTATCAAAAAGAGAGATGATTAGAGCTGCTTTTGGGGGCATAAATATCTGTGTAGGTATTCTCCTTGAGTTGTGCCACACTGAGGTTTAATAAAAGTTACTCAACTTTTTTGATCTTAAGCATCCAAGTTATTTCATGTTTCTGGGAACATGATGTGGGACTAAGGAAGTCAGAATCAGCATTCTGCCTTACTGTGGCAGGAAGTCCACTCCTCGACAGCCCTTCCCCAGTCATCTGGGCCTGGGAAATGCCTGTTATATATGATTATAATAATATTCTAAATATGAATAGTGCTTTTCATATTCTTCAGGACTTTGAATTCTGTCCTCTCCTGTTTTCTTCTCTAAAAATCCATAGATAGTATATTTTCTGAAAACAGAAAGACTCAATTTTTAACAAAAGTCTTTTATAATTCTTACTAAGTCAGGGGATTGTCATAGAAATATTTTAGAATAATTCAGTGAGTAGATATAATAATATGCTTTTAGAAACATAATTTAAATATATAACTAAAGCACAAAACACTTATAAATGAGTAACACTGAAAATATTCACTGGATGATGATATTTCTAGCCAATTATACAGGAAGGAATAAAATCCACAAGAGGACCGGGTGTTGATCAACATTAATAGCCAAAAGATAGATTTAGATTTTAGCCTCAATCCCTTTTTCAAGACAGCAAGGTGGGCTACAATTCAAGCAAAATTTTCATCTAAGAAATAAAATATATTTTCTATTATTTAATAATCGTGAATTTAAAAGCAATTTAAATTGTTTTTATCTGAATAAAATGTATTTATTTTTCAACAAAGAATGTATCATTGCATTTGTATACCATACCTTATGTGCCTTAGGAAGAAGTGAACCAGGTGGTTTTTTCTTGAGTACATATTTTTGAAAGCCCTTCTGGAGATAAAAGGTTGGATTGGAATATCCTGATCTAGAAAAGAGTAGAGAAATGGTCAGCTATAAAAATATATTTACCCTCTTCCTCAAATCCTATTGAAATGTCAGAAGAAACACAAAAATGAAAATAAATCGATTTCAATGTTGCAAGGCCAAGAGGGGTGCTACAGCATGTCTGAACATAAGTTTTTGAATGATAAAAGCAGATGGCAACAAATAAGGGAACAGCTGTGTTAGTGTCTCCTTATCTGCTATTGGAGAGATAACCCCCATTGGTGTGACCAAGGTTAGCACCCAAATACAACTCTCTACAACAGGAAGTCTGATAAGGTTCTAGAGTGAGTATCTAGACCAGAAAAGTGCAAAGTTGCCCCAGGTAACTTATACCAGGGCACTGACTTTCTCCATCAGGTGAACAGAAGTTCTCACACAGACGAAGGGAATACACTCCAGCTACCAAAACTATCCAATCTTCACCTTCATTTACCATATGAGCAGTTTAGAATTACCAAACTTTTAAAGAATCCAACAGCATGAAAGAGAGGCCTTAAACTAAACAGAAGAATTTTCTTCAAAGTTTCTCTCGAGGCCTCCAGCCTCAGTCCACAAAGAACAAGGGTTCAGACTGAATGCAGCAGCAGCTCCAGTGTCTACATCTTTCTCCTACAAGCTAGACCCGTCCTCCCTAAAAATCAAATCTAAGAGCACTGATCTTGGTATCATCTAATCCTGTGCAGGTGCCTTTTAGCATAAGAAACTGCAGATGATTGCCAATGATCAGGAAATAAGACCTCCTCAAGCTATGTGTCTACCTTGACATGGAATAATTTATTCATGATGCTGCAAAGAGTCAAGTTGACATGAACCTTACAAAAACCTTTTTTTCAGCTTTATTGAAATATAATAGACAATTTGCTCTATTTATATTGTACAACTCAATGAGTTTTTTCAGTTATAGTTGGCATATGATATATTAGTTTCAGTTGTATAGGATAGTGATTAGAGATCTATATAACTCACAGTTATCATGCCACTAAATCTAGTACTCCTTTACCCCCTTACATAATTATTACATTATTAACTATTTTCCTTATGCTACACTTTATATCTCCATGTCTATTTTGTACTTGTTAATCCTTTTGCCCTTTTTCACCATCCCCCACCCCCTCCCATGTAGTAGCCCTCAAAATATTCTCTGTATCTGAATTTATTTCCATTTTCATTGTTGTTTATTTTGTCCTTTAGATTACACATGTACGTGAAATCATGAGATATTTGTCTTTCTCTCTCTGACTTACTTCATTCAGCGCAATACCCTCTAGGTCCATTAAGGCAATATCTTTTTTCCATCCCCTTTCTTTTAGTCTGTGTGTGTCTTTTAATCTGAAGTGAGTCTCTTGTAAGCAGCATACGTAGGGGTCTTGTCTTCTTATCCATTCAGCCACTCTATCCTTTCACTGGAGCACTTAATTCTTTTCCATTTGAGGTACTTGTTGATAAATATGTAGTTATTACCATTCTTTTTTATATAAATTTATTTAAATTAGTTTCAAGAATACAGTACATTAGTTAGACATCTATAATGTTCATAAAACGATCCCCCCAATTCCTCCCTCCCTTCCCTGGCCCTCCACTTAGCCATCATGTTAAATCTAACTGCATTCCTTCTGCCATACTCCCTGTGCCCAACTGTCAACTACTGATTTGTACGTCTTTAACCCTTCACCCCATTCTTTATTCATGTTTTTGATATATGTTTTTTCTTCTTAAAGAAGTTCCTCCAACATTTCCTGT